AAAGTACCCAAAACTTACACACTTATGTTCCATATGTATGGTGTTCATGTGACGATAAAACCTAAGGCATAACATGTCAGTACTCATAGGACCATCTGATGTCTAGGTTATTTTAACCTACCTAGACTACTACTGTTATCGATTGGTAGTCTTTGCCATATATTTAGTAGATGCATAATGTTAATTGTTAATCCGTGATGATGATAATGATGTGAACTCGAGCCATAAAGTGTACCCTATTTAAATATTTAATCAATCATTTATTCAAATTTAATACAAACAGAGATAATCAGTTGATAAATTTCATATATACATTATAATCGTTGGCATTTCTGTTAGTATAATAAATTAGCTTAACTTAACCTTATTCACTTTAATTCAGTAAAGTGAAAATTCATTGATTTTTAGAAATACGATTTAATTTCTATTCTTTTTAAGCTTACTGTGATTACTTTAATGGAATCAATCATATGAAACAGGTGACATCTATTTGTTCGTATGTGTTTGTGTGTGCAAGCGAGAGAACAAGTAAGGGAAAGAGAGATGGGAGCAAACGAACGCGTGCATACCCTGTACGTGTCATTTTAACTTTAGTAAATATAAATGAAAACTAGACGATTGGAATCATCTTGTAAACAAACGAGCCAGAAAATGAGAGAGAAAAAGAAGGGGGAAGAGAAAGAGTGTTTTAGTTTCACTTGACTGTTTAGTTATTTTTCGTCAGTGATTGATGAGTTGGATATGGTATTCTCTTCTTTTCTCACTTTTTTGTTCTTTTTTGAAGGAGAATATTATTTCGACTTTGTTTTTCAGTGGTATGCACCTGTAAAAATTTGATTTGAGAAAATGATTGTTAAGAAGGCTAACATTTCCTTCTCCTTCACCTTCGTTTGAAAAAGAAGAATACACGACTCTGGGTTAATTATTTAAAGACAAACACGTGCGCATTATAGCCTATGTACGTGAACATGCGCATACGTACTGTTCCTTTATATATATATATATATATATATATATATATATATATATAATTACCATTCTAATTATCAGCAGATCCACTTCACACATTTGCTTTTATTATGCTCTTTTACTTATTATTATATATCTACTTTTCATCTGTAGATTTTTAAGTGCTCTTATTTTTGACAATTAATGAAATAAGCTGAAATATGGTTTATTTGTGTGCAGTTATACTTCCTTCACCTTATCTGCTGTTGCCTACACAGGTGTCTAGTATAAATGAATAAGTGTAAACAGATGGTCTGTTTATTATACTGCTGAAGTGTTAGAATATTTACTCACTTTTTCATCAGCTTAATGAACACAATATCGGGTTTGATGATATACATAGAGCTTTGTTTTCCTAAGCTCAAGACAGATTAAAGTAACATGATTGTAATGTATCTGAAAGTCTAACTAAAAGGGCTTAGATCTTGAAATACAACTTTGGATTTTCAAATCGTATTCAAAATTAAAAACCTAGAATACCTTAGTGGGTAAGTCTAAAGTTGTGGTGGAAAAAACATAACCACTGGGGTTGATTAAGTCATACAGAGGAACAATTTGTCATCAAGGATATATAATAATGGTCCCGCTATATTGTGAATCAAAACCTTCTGGAAACCACTGGCTGTTGGTTGTCAACTCCGTTGTTGTGACCATGATTTTCTATGATGATATTTGTCTTCCTTACAAAGCAGTCAAATATTAGGATGGAAAGGCTATGTAATGTTTCCTTCAATAGAAGAACACTGTTCTATATTATCTTTCGATTTTTTATATCACTGAATATGAGCAGTATTTTCATCGGCAGCTCAAATACATGAAGGAGATTGGGATTATTTTCAATTTTTTTTATGATCTTAGGTAGTGTGACAAAATCTGTGGAAATTATCGTAAAGCTTTAAAATTCATCTGAAAAGATCACCTGTACAACTTCTTGACTAATTTCAACACACAATGTAAACTGTTATTTCATAGACTATAAGCTACTAGGGATAGCTTGTCAGAGTAATATGAAACAAGGGGACTTAGAAAGAACTAGATATTTTAAGCGCAAATTAATAATACAGAATGATCATGAAAAATCACAAAGACACTGGATGTATATGTTTTACAATTCAGTTTTCATGATGAACATTTTAGGAATTAAAATCTGAAGCGTGTGTAAGACTGTAATGCAAATGGTTAGCAAATTATAGGCTATAATCAGTAAGTGAATAAGCATTTTAAAAATCAAACAAAAAAACAGTAATTGAATCAAATTAAGTGACAAATTTCTTTGCTTCATTGTGCTCTCTGTCACTATTTCTTGCTTAGTGTAGATCCCGTATACTGGTTCACGTAGTCATTGTGTCAGAATAGTAATAGTTTAAGCTAACTAGTAATCTTGAAATCCAATTCACAATGTTAAATTTATCATTATCGAATAGTGGAAATATTATTCGGGTTTGAAGATATTCTATTCTGCGAACAGATAGCGACTGAAACATCAGTATAGGTGAAGATTTACTATAATACTAACTAATTAAAACTTGATATTCATCAGTAGAATAATCACATAGGTGACAAGTGTAAAATCAACTAGTCATGATTTCTTCAACTAAGGTATTCCTTGGTATAACACTAAAGAATAATAACGCTAATTTTCACTGATGCATCCACTGAGCATCAATTTTAGGATAGCTGTCATTGTAAACTAACATTTGCAGGGAATTATTGAAAACTAGAAGGCACTAATGGATCATTTCATCCCACTTCGAAATTCTTCAAAGTAGGTCACTGCAACACAAAGAAATAATTGAAGAAATAGTTACTGTTTCATTTAAAAATGTTATACTTCAGTCGTTGCTTTCACTCAACCTAGATGACGTCAGAGATTACTGAGAAAATTATCAAATTAATTCGCAAATATCATATGAGTTATAATAGTAATTATCATTCCTAGTGTAGCTAGCTTGTTTGAGAACGAGAGAGAGAGGGATAAAGAAAGATGATTTATCCAAATAAGATTTATATCATAAACAGTTTGCACGAATTTATTTCTCGCTAATTCCTAATAAATTGAAATGATTCTCAAATTAATGGATTCCCCTAAGGCTATTGAACTAGTGCTGATTTTTGAAATACAGGTCCACTTTGAAGATAATCTGTGCTCTTAAATGAAATAAATATATTACTTACATATTATTTAAATTATTTGCTAATACAATCAAATATGTACTTTAGTACGGGCAATTTATATTTTTGTTAACATGAATTACCTAATCTCGTCAAGAGTTCAGCTAGTATTTCATTAATATCTAACAACAGAACTTTTTTCAAAATATTTTTCCTTCATTTGTGACCTAGTTAAGCTGATTTTTGTTCTGCATAAATACTTATTGTAAACAAAATTAAATATTTAACATGCAGACTTTCACTTAAGATAATAAATATATGTATTATCCTCGGATTTCTCTTTTTCCACATTTTTCCTTATGCATTCGTTAGTCTAATAGGGATAATCACTTAGAGGAAAAGACCTTTCTTTACTTAAAATGATGAAACTCGTTATAGTATACCAAAAATTGTGTTAAAGCTTTGATTTCATGTTTACCTGGGGATAATTCACTGATACATGAATGAATATCCAATTATGAGTACAAAAACATTTTGTGCACAGAAAGGGAACTTCTAAAACCATCTGTTTTATTTTCATTTAAGTTGATTTCATTCTTCTACACTGTCTGCCAACACACGGACACACTAACAATTTTCCTGTACAGCTGTCATAAGTTTTTATTGTGGTAAAATATTCTAACTGGTGCTTGATCTTTTGCTTTTACAATTTATCATACGAAAATTACTTTTTGTTTATGTATGGATGCATATACATATGTGACAGCTTAGAATATCATTGACCTTCTTCTATGGAACTCTATCACCAATTATTTTACACCAAACTTGATTGCATGAAACTGTTGTTATTAAGTCAGATGATATTTTCTCCCTTGATTTACGTGATTTAATTCCACAGACACGCGACCCTTCAGCCTACAAGAATCTTGACTATCTGTCTTCAATGCCTTTTATTTTTTATTTTTGCCTGGGCAAATTTTCGCCTACTCCCCTTAAAGTGACAATGATTGATGTTCAGCCTCAAAAAGAAATTAGCAAAGTTTAGAGAAAAAAATATTCTTTCATCTACTCCACATAAATTAAAACACACAAACTTCTTTTCCTTTTGCATTGTAGGAGAAATCGATCTCTTTTCGTATACTTTGCCTCAGCTTTTTGCTTTGTTCTCGTTTTTTAATCTTATTTTAAGAAGAAACCAACTTCGCGAAGGAAGACAATGAAGAAAAATAGCAAAAAAAAGAAGGGGGAACTCTCCTTAGGGAAGGATAGGAGTTTACTGGAGTCGATTTGTGCGTAAATGTGTGTCTGTATCCATAATCATATGGTAGTATATATATATATGTTTTTGTTTGCGAAAAAGATATGAAACTGATCGAATTCGATTAGATTCTGTCATTGTTAAGAAGAATGATTGATTTTGAAAGTTGTAAAATGAATGCCTAAAAGGCTATTGATGCTTACCAAAGCTGCTTTTGTTTAATGATCAGTGTGTAAATTATGACTAATATCTTTGATGTGAACAAAAATACTTTTCATTGAGGCGCAGTATGTTTCAGTATGTTACATAAGAGAGTAACAAAAAAGTTATATGTTCATGTGTTCGCCTTCTACAAATAAATAAAACCATAAGTTTAAACCATTTTGATCGGACGTAATCAGGGGGTCCTGAAATTAGGTCTGATATTTTTTTCGTTGACACTCGTCAGTAAGGCGAATATGCATTCGTGAAGAAGACTACAGCAAAAATTTTTCATTCCTTAGCCATATAATCTACTGACAAATCATGATTGTCACAGGTACTTCTCTGATATGCTTACACTATATATATATTTTTAATGCAATTCGTGTTTTTTTTCTCTTGAAAAAATTCTCCTCGACAGGATCACAAAAAGATGTTATGGAGGAATTAGAATCTGAGACCAGAGGTGATTTGAAGAGACAGAAAAAACGTGGAATATTTCCAAAAGTGGCCACAAACATTATGAGAGCATGGCTTTTCCAACATTTAACAGTAAGTTTAAACTTTTGACCATTTAATTAAAATCCATATTGAATTGATTATGAAATAAGTGAAATCAGCACACATATTTGATATTTAACTGACACATGGTAAGCATTTCTCACGGAAGAAAATGTAACATTGACTTCTTTCGACAGCCATATTTCATAGTAAAGGCAGCAAAGAATTAAATAAGGAGCCTAAACAACTCTAGATGTTTTCTGGTAATAATATGGTAAGATTATGAAAAGCAACCCGTTGCAAATTACCATCAACGCAAAAATCATATGAAAGTATTACTCCAGCATTTACGGATTCATTTCATCTTAACAAACTCCAACTGCAATTCCATAGTAGAGAAGTTTATACTATATAACACATCGCGATACTGGTCAATCTTTCGAGTATAATCTATTGCTCATGATGCCATCAGTGCGATGTGATTGTCAGCGACATGTCATCAGTAAACAGATAATACTGTGTCATTAAATAAAACTATCCTATTACAGAGTTATATGGTTCAAAATATTCTCTCCATAAAGTGAGTCACTTTTGCAAAAACACTGCCTGTATACAGTGACAAGAAAGGAAAACAACATTTTATATAAATGTATATACATATCTGGTGTTAAATGTATGAAGTAAGTGAATATGCATTTTTTCCATCGTAGATGAATAAACAACCACTTCATAATGATTTAAAGTCAGATTTCTTATATAAGCTCTCATTAACAAAAATTTCATTAAAGTCAAAACATTTATGCATCATTAAAATAGTGTAAATCTAAGGTCAATCTTTTGAGTTCGTCTTCCTTTTTTTAAAGCAATAATTACAATTAGCTTTAAGGAAACATATTCATGTGAATCATTACTTGTGGTTGAATGATCTTAATTAAATAGGTTGATTAATGTTTACCACATAAATGAGTTACCGGTGAAGTCTAATAGGTAACTGAAAACGAACGCAAGAATGGATTATTTAAGAAACTACAAGGATTCTCTCTATATATGTTTAAACTTAATCAGCATAATATGACCACATTCCAATACTTAGCTGAAAAAATCAGTAGCTTACAGCATTAGCCCCTTTTATACTTACTGTATTTCATTCTGAATTTCAAATTTGACCATGGATTGATACCGGTTAGAGAAGCATTGAAAACCAGGGAGTACTGGACAGCTGTTTCGTCATTGTGTGGGACTCATCAGTAGTATGCGATCACTGGGGTTCGAATCCAGTACCTACTGGTTACAAGACAAGCTCGTCTACCATTGAGCCACTTGGACCTGATTCAGTGGCCCATGAATTCTAACTTCTAACAATTCGTGATTTTACAGCGATCAACAGACAATGTTCTCTTACTTATATCAGTCTGTGGTCAACCTTGAAACAAATCAGATCCTTACAAACTAATTCTTGAATATTCTATATTTCAGTAGGTTATGAAATGATTCAAAGGTTCATCCATTTGTTATTCAGAAGTCTAAGTATAAAAACAAAAATGCAGCCACTTTATATCTATTAATTATCTGATTCGTTCTTGTTTCCTAAAGCATCCGTATCCATCTGAAGAACAGAAAAAGCAACTGGCTCAAGACACCGGTTTAACTATCTTACAAGTAAACAACTGGTAAGTTGAATTCAGCTAATGTTTCATGAAGTACTTCAATGTGAAGTTCATTTTTTTAGATGACGATAATTCCTGTTATTTATGTGGGTTAATTACAGGAATATTTGGTTGGTACTCGTAAAGATCTTTATCACATTTTTCAATTATGACTTTTCACGAAATAAAAAGGAGTAGTTCTTGAACAAAGCAAGAACAACAATTGTACCAGGATAATATGAGCTCATCTTTATATTATTTCGAGGATTCTTCTCAACTGGTTACAACCTGAACGATGAAAAATATGAATTACATTACATTAAAGATTTGAACATAATTTTCCACGATCACAAGGAGTAATTGGTAGGAAGTAAAAGTAACATTAGTCCAGAATGATTTTGTGGTGAGAGCTGTCTACTAGCCAATTGGTTGACAATAATTGAGGTCAATGTTTATGTATCAAATATTAGTCATGTTGTGGTGAGAGATGGTTGCTAGCCAAATTGGTTGACAGTAGTTGAGGTCAAGGTCAAGATGGACAGGCGGATACAGTTAACATATAGATGAACTGACACAGCCACAAGAGATGCAAGGTTAACTTGTGTGAGAAACAACCAATCAACAGACTGTATTTTATACTAACATTAACCTACAATAATGTACATCAAAATCTATAAATACGTGTTGATTTTCCGTGACAAACGTTCTGTTGCCTGGCCCTTGTCTTCTGTTGTTACAATTTAACTAATTAAGAGTTACAAACACTGACTATTTATAGAATAATTCAAATGAACTGTGATCAATATTTGACAGTTTATGAGTATTTATAGAATAATTAGGCAATTAGGCTGTTGTATATTTTAGGTCCACAAGTATTAAACAGTGCAGTCGCGCGTCATCTATTAGACACTGGTCATAATGTAGACAACTTGAAGTCATTCAAAATAATCAACAAGCAAAAGAAACCTAACTTGCTACGCTTTGCTGAAGCAATTGCTATCAGACGACTTAAACCAAATCTATGTACGCAGAAAGAGACAGTGGTGAATCTTGCACTGCCCTGGTGACAAAAAAAATATACAACAGCTTGTTTTTGTTTCCAAGCCTAATTGCCTAATTATTCTATAAATACTCATAAACTGTCAAATATTGATCACAGTTCATTTGAATTATTCTATAAATAGTCAGTGTTTGTAACTCTTAATTAGTTAAATCATTCTGGACTAATGTTACTTTTACTTCCTACCAATTACTCCTTGTGATCGTGGAAAATTATGTTCAAATCTTTAATGTAATGTAATTCATATTTTTCATCGTTCAGGTTGTAACCAGTTGAAAAGAATCCTCGAAATAATATAAAGATGAGCTCATATTATCCTGGTACAATTGTTGTTCTTGCTTTGTTCAAGTTTATTAATAGGAAGAATTGCATGAAGTTTTTGGAGTAGTTCTTGTTGAATTAATTTTATAGTTTGCAGGTATGAATGAATTAACTGCTTATAAATTGTAATCAGAAACTGGAAATTTTAATGAAAATATCTCTTAAACTGAACTAGTTAACATTTGAATACAGTAATGCTACATATAGCCTTAATTTAAACTCCTCAATTAAATATTTTTAGGAATATCAATGTCTACGAGTTACATTTTTAATTAGTTCCACAATCTTTTTTTTCCAGTGAACTCAGCACTTCTATACTTAGAAGTTCTGTCAAAATACAATTAGCATCTAAGGCGAAAGACTTTGTTCAAAAATGTTTCAGCATTATTAAAAAGGTACATCTTCAGCTTCTGCAAACAGTCTGATTGTTGTAAACATAAAATAATTCATACGAACACATAGTTTACTTTATTTACTTAATATCCGTGGAGTTTATTTGATACAGTGATACATTACTATATCAAATAAAATTATTTAATATGAAGTTATATTCTACTACATTGTCTAAATTCTACCCTAATATTAATTCATCGAAAGAATTAGATAGTTATAATCAACAGTAATATTCAGCAAATTACTGACTTGTATTTCTTCTTTCTTTTTAATTTACTGAATATATCTTATTATAGGTTCATTAATGCTCGTCGGAGAATCGTACAACCTATGATTGACCAATCTAACAGAGCAGGTAAGCTAATTGACAAATGTTGTACTTTCGCTTCACGAACAAATGCCAGAAAAGGAATTATGTATGAAGTAAATCATAAAATGTATTAAAACCCAAATTGAATATAGAAAATAGGGTAGACTGTTTTGGTGACATTTTAATAAAAAAATTTGGCTATTTCATCCAGCTACCACTTTTAAATGAAGGTCCCTATCGTATTGTAGTCTGGGTTTGGACATTTTTTTACAGCAGAATACCCCAACAGGAACCTTAGTTTCTATTTTATATCTACTGTCATAGTTTCCACAATAGATAAATTTCATGTCACCTCTATGTATATATGTGGCAGATAAAATGTACGAAAAAATTTATCAGTAAACAATGTTACATTTTTGCATCCTACATTAGAGAAATGTATGTATTATGAAATTATACACTTATAGAGTGCCTAAGTTGTATTACCAGTCTGCGCTTTCAGACTTTACCAGAAGAAGTTAGTTATATTCCTGTTTTGTAAAATGCCTAACATAAATATACATAAAAAGTTTTAGGGAAATCTAATTAAAAGATGCTGCTATTTACTATCAAATAAAAATAGTTTCAGACTCAAAAAGTGAGAGTATCTACCTGCTTACTACATTTGCACAAAATCTCACTTTTATATAGCCAAAAAACTAACTTCTCACCAATCAGCAAAATAAGTGAAGTTATATCTTCATATACCAACTTATATTCCTTTAGTGAACAGGTTAACTGGTTGACTTAAGTATTTTTCAAAAGGAATAATTAAAATTAGACATAATGAATATGCATTGTTTTCTTTATTTATTATCTAGAAGAAAGTTTGGTGATCTCATTTGATCCAAAGTTAAGTAAAAGCAGTTCAAGAATTCTTAAATTTCTAAACATTTTAGCACGTTTGTAACTGAAGAATTGAGGAAACTTTTATGTTTTCTCTTGTTTTTGGATTTGTAGGTCCTCATGGCTATTCAACCACAGAAAGTGTACCACAATGTATGGATTATATTGAAGGTGCTCCCCCCTATTCGGCATATACCAGGGCAGCTCAAGCTGCAGCAGCTGCAGTCGCCGGTGAGTATCTGCCCATTTAATGAGGCTGAATGTGATACTGATCTCATATTTTATTATTTGTAGAAGAAAGTAGTGTCAGTAGGATTTTGGTTTTTTCCCCTACTTACAGTAACAAACAGTAAATCAGTTATTAGATTTTTGTCTTGTGAATATGTTTCCACCAAAATTTTTTGGAATCACCAAACTTCAGTAAAAGTATGGAGGTTTCGGAACGTTTTCATCTTACTGGAATATATGAATAACACGACTTAGTAATACATCCATTAATCTGAGAGGAATGAACATAAACATAAACATCAGCAAATCTACTGAGTTAAAGTAAAATTAACAGCAAAGAGAATGAATAACTCTGCATAACAACACAAAACTTGTTCTTGTTCCTGAAACAGATTAACACTAGACTTCAGCTAGCTTGCGTTCCTAATCTCATTTTGGAAATTAGTAATTTTTTATATTATTCTCTTCATTCGTTAGCTTGAACTACTTAAAAGTTCACCAGCGGTTTGATAAACTGCTAAGGAACAAGGATGTAACAATAATAAGGTGTTTCCCTCAGATGACCAACATGCAGGCCATTCTGTCTCTCCACTCTGGAGAGGACAGGTTTAGGAAAGGTTGGTCCCGAAAATAATGCATCCCGACGTAATCTACGGTGGTCCGTAGCTGGCCGAAAGTTACTAATACGGAACCAAACCTAAAAGCTAGTTCAAACAAGCCGTGAATCATCGGCCTCAAATAGTTTTCCCCTGGGCTCTTTTCCTGTTTCAGACACCCTAAGAAAAAATTAACCTCCCCAGTGTGGGCAGCCAGGAAGTTATAACCACCCACACACTCCCGGAAGCACATAAAGCCCTTCTGATCATCACTCTCGTTTATCTACGTCATCATCATTATCCAGTTTTTCTCCTACTGTTAGTACTATTCTTCAGGCTGGTCCGTCATATTCCTTTCATTCTGTCACCATAAATGGCAATGAGAGCCACGCCATCAACATATTATTAGCTCATTTAACATCAGGACCCTCTGTCAAATTGAACAACAAACATCATCAGTCAGAACTCTGGCATTTCAAGCCATGGGTGTATGTTGTGTTGTAGGTCAAGACACTCAGTCCCTATTTAAGCAAGAAATAGTGAAACGAGTATCTCAAGTCGACAGCAGGACTCCTCCTGAGGAAGCCTGGCACAATATACAATTAGCTGTAGACACAGCTGTGAAGGCTGCTAGTAGCCTAAAACCAAGGAATAGGAAAAGCCAGTGGATTTCTGCTACTACATCCGAACTGATAGACTCAAGAAGACTGATTCCAGAGAGCTCCGAATATTATGAGGAGCGAAAGCTGCTCAAATGCAAACTGACAAAATGTCTTCACAACGATAGGTAAAATCATACAACTATTTAGACTTATCTAGGACACAGGTGGCAAAAGGAAAATGATAAGTGAAACATTCGCGGAGAAAATCGGCACCATAATCAGCTCTCGGGATAGACTCATGGAATGTTGGGAGGAACATTTTGAAGAGGAATTTAACTGGCTTTTAGCCACGCTCAACTTACCCGGCATCCTCCACCTCCATGAATGGGATAAAGACACCGATCCTCCATCCCTGATGTTACAAAAGCTGTCTCTAATCTGAAACGAGGCAAAGCGGTGCGATCTGATGGAATGACTCCAGAGGTGTTCAAGAACGGTGGAGAAAATTTACTGTCTGGGTTGACTAAGGTATTAGGTAACGTCTGGGAGTAAGTCACTGATTATCCCGATATTCAAGAACGGAGACAAGTCTTCCTCTAATATCCACAGGGGGATTAGCTTGACCAATATAGTATCTAAAATTCTAGACTCAATAATCATGCGTAAACTCAGTGGTGCTTCAGAGGAACGAAAGCGAAAAAATCAGGTGGGCTATATACCAAGAATAGGGCGTATTGATCGTATCTTCACCCTTTGAAAGACGCTGGAACATAGGCATACTTACCGGCGTTCAAAAATTACCAAATCTCTTGACCTGAAAGCGGCATTTGATTCCGTCGACTGAGAGGTACTACAGCGATATCTGGCTGTGAATGGAATGCCGAGAAAATACATTGCACTGGTCAAGGCAATCTACTTGAACTCATACAGCCAGGCGAGAGCCTACGGAGAGTTGTCATCTGAAGTGGTGACAACTAGTGGTGTCCAACAGAGATGCCCACTGTCCCTATTTCTGTTTAATTTCATCATAGATGTACTCATGAACTTAACTCTAACTGACTTCAGCGAGTCAGGGATTGACTCGTCTGTTACAAGGGAATAATGTCGTTGACTTGGAATATGAGGATGGTGTAGCCCTCCTAGTTGCAGACGCTGACAAAATGCAGTCTTCTGAACACCTTGAGCAACCATCTTCAAATGTAAGATGATGCTACAGGTCTCGTTCTAATCTGATATTAGCCTAAAGATAGGGAATGAAGTGGTGGAGCGTGCTGAACATTTCATTTATTTGGGGAGTTATATCAGCCAGTGTCAACGGGTTGATCGTTGACAAAATCTCAGTACGGATACAGAAGGCACGTTTGGCATTTTCCAGCTAACCTACGCCATCTTTGGCGTAGACGTGATATCCGGTTGTCGACCAAAGCGCATATGTACTTCTCAGCAGTTCACGTCGTCCCCCTTTATGACTGTGGGGCCTGGCCATTGAAAGTGGAAGACATGAAAAGGCTAGCCGTGTTTGATCATAGGTGTCTGCGTTAAATCTCCTGTGTTAAGTGGTAGAATAAGGTGAGCAATATTGAGGTTAAGCGTCGAGTGCTAGGTAAGAGGGGAAATCAATCGAGGGGGTTGTGAAGTTACACCAATTGAGATGGTTAGAACATGTGTTACGTATGCCTAGGCATCGCCTTCCTCGATGGCCAGTGTTAGCTGACATAGGTTCAGGCTGGAAAAGAGCGGCGGTCAAACCAAAACATGGCACCAGTTCATGAAATCCACAGCAGTTAGTTTAAGCCAGCCAGTCACTTAGGAAGGTGTAGAGTTCCTGGTTGGGGTCCTCGGGATGGTAAAAACCAATGGCTAGAGACAGTCGGTGATATAGCTCAAAATCGTTCTCAATGGCACAGATGCATTCACGCTTTGTGATTTGTGGTGTCCAATAAAATTATATTGTACTTCCATAATATTATTCTTTTTACCCCATATTTCTGTTTACTATCTCTCTTTTGAACGTCTGTTTACTCTCTTCTCTCGCTTTGTGTGCTACATGGAATGTGGCAACTCGAATTACTGAACATCTGTGCAAAATTCCACGTTGAAACCACTGAGTTAGTCAAACTACACCGTTTTTCGCCATTAACCCTATGAATGTATTACCTGGGATGATGGTAATATCCACTTTAGAAAATAGAATACCAAAGTATTAACCGCATTTGGTTTATAAAGTGCATGCTGAATGCTATAACGTGGCATTTTCATCTTCGTAAGTATGTAAATGAGTGTTTGCCATTATGCAGTCTTACTGCTAATAATGAGTGTTACAGGTATAATCTAAGGAGTAATGCGGTACAAAGGTGAGATATAACGTCTCCGCTTTTACTTTTTATTCATCAAATCATAAGCGTATGTGATAGTATGTGGTTAGTTTGTTATGAAGTGAAAGAATTCTTGATTACTTAATTTTCTGATCAGCATAGTACTTAGTTGAGTGGTGATTAAAAATGATAAAGAAGAGAAATAGCGACAATTATGAAAGTGTAACTCATTATCCTAGACTTTTAACTTTCATTTAAAACTTCAAATAAGCATACAGAAAGCGTGTTTAGTTATTAGATTATGGGGCAGGCGAAGTCAGTAGGTAGAACTGAAACATTCAGAACACTGAATCGGTAATAATCAACAAAGAGTTTCTGTAGTTAAGTGAATAATGAAGCCAAGACCTAATCCATGGTTGCCACAAAAAGCATAATTAGTGACATGAAGTTATTATCACTGATATGCCGTTTTCCTAGGGAAACAGAAAATTAAAAATTGTTTAACGGTATTTCAGATGTAGCAAGTGAGATATCACACTGCCTTAAAACAACTATCAACTACCTTAAAATCAGTTTTTGTAAGAGCTAAATGCTACTGTCCTGTTGGCACAAGTTTATTAGAAGTGAATAAATTATTCTAGGTCCGTAGTAGGAAGCCGTTTTTTGATAGTAAATAAGTTGGTGGAATATTAATTTTATGAATATTTATTTATTAATTGCAGGATTTTCAAATCATCACCCTTCGAACGACGTCTACTTAGCGGCCGCCGCTGCTGCTGCTGCAGCTTCAGTTGGTTTTAGTAATGGTGTCGTTACAAATAATGCATCAAGTCGAGATAATTTAAGTCGTTTTCCAAACGGTAGCCATGCCAACCAATGTGTTGGGGGAATTCAGTCTAAGGCTAATGCATTGGATTCGTTAATAATGCCGACAGATTATACACTTTCAGATCGTGTTAACAATGTAAATAGCTGTTTGCCTCATCAGTTATATTCAGATGATATGAATGAACTGCCTACAAATTTATCATCCTCTTTGTCACCAACCTGTAATACGTTTATAAATAATCCGTTTATTAGTTCTGGTGCAGACTGTACACCATTGAATAGTGCATATAATAACAGTAATACTAATCATCATAGTGATAACAACAATCATATTGGTTATTCTAATGAAGTGCCATACTATCATTCATTCGACACACCAAACGGATACCCATTAAACCATCTTTCATATAATAATTATAATTCAAACAATCTACCCATCACAAATCATTTTGATACAGTTTCAACACTACCAAGTGATTACAGTGCTAGTTTAATAGCATCTCATACTACTACACAAGCCTTGTCAACAACATATTCGCCAAGAAGTTATTGTTTAAATGATACAGACAGTAACTGTGGTGGTATACTCAACTCAGAAGATCCTTTAGCTCCTACTATTATTAACACTATCAATAATAACTCAGTAATTTACAAAACTACTATACCAGATGATTCTGTTGGGGGAATAAATGCGATCACAACTATGTCACCATCGATAGTAACTTGTCGAGGTGATGATGATGCGACAGAAACCGAAGGGATTAATATGAAGTCAACTTGTTGAGATAGGATCAGTTCGTAAAGTGATTGACGGAAGATATAAACTATCATTGACATTTGAAGTATTTCAAGGAGTGATTTTCTTTCCTCCTTTTAAAGTGTAAATTGTTGAACTTTTTTTCTTCTTGTTTTCCTCTTTTAAACTTGCATTCATCAGTTTGAGGAAGAAAGAGAATGAAAAAAGACATTAGGCTGATACACTATTTCCGGTGTTTGGATGAACTAGGGATAAAATAACAGTTTAAATCCCGTCTACACGAAAGAAAATGTACACCTGAATGTACTTCAAATGGATTATTAATGATTGAATACTTGAAATCTACTCTTTTACAGTCCATTCATGCTCACACAGGGTCTAATTAATAATGTTTCTTTTATGGACTAATAAGAATTCATTGTTTATTGCTTATGAAATATTTAGTTTTACAGGTGTGTTCACTTCAGCTGTATTCACTTTTTATTCTAAGATCTAATCAGAGGAATGATTATTATTACAGACAATTATCCCCTTCAATTACTCTTCTATAGACAATTACTTTGATTTTCAAAAACTGTACACTTGACTTGACAGTGCACTATAAAAGAAATATATTCATTTTCTTTCAGTGTGCAAGTCACACAGAAAAACCTAGTAGATATATGCCCATATGCACACACTAATATTCATGCGTACAAAGCATATATATTCAATACAGGGTATCAGTTTCTTTTTTTCTGAATTAATTTTTCTTTATATATATATATGTGAATATACCTATGTGTATACATGATTTTGGGGGATATTTTGTTGACTCTTGATTTCTTTAGTTGTTTATCTCTTCAGTTTCTTTTAAAATTCTCTTCTAAAAAATTTAATAATGTTAAATAAAAATGACAGCAAAATATATAAACTGTATTAATGATAATTATAATATAATGACATTATTGTAATTTTTTGACAAGGATAAAATAACAATAAAATTAAATAACTCAAAGTAATGTGTTTCTAGTCTTCTAGTTCCTAGATTAAAGCATGAGTACTCATAGTGTAATAATGCTTAGATAATATATTTTCAGTATGAATTCCAGAGAAATAGATTTCAATGACATTTAAAGGTAGAGTCAGGAAAGAAACACCATGAAAATGTAATTCAAAGTATGACAGTGAATTTATTTGTCATCAGTTACTTGTCCTCAGCCAATTAGTGAATCTAAAAGCTTGATCAGATGGTAGTAATTTCTTTCTAGGGTAGATTTGCTCTTCAAATCACCTACATTTGTCATCATTCTAGTTCCGTATTAACTCATTCGATTAATATTTGATTTTTGGAAAGCAGTATTATTACCGCATTGAAGGTAATTACTGTTAAAGCATTGAAACTTACATAGAATGTTCAATCAGTATTCAGCACTTTTAAACACTCTTTTTCGTAATTAATCTGACTACTAAATATACTACTTAAATCTTTTAGTTTCAAAAATGACTAAATCGGATAACACTTAGATTTTCATCGGAAAACTAATTTTAGGAAGAAATCTCATAGAAGTCTAATTCATGTTAAAGTATACCATAAGAACTAATTTTTATGTAATGAATAAGTTTAGCTGCCATTTTTATTATATTGTATCTCTCATTGAGTGATTATTATCACTACAGTTTGAAAGCAGTATTTCTAGTTGGAACGTGTAAGAATGAAAATTTTATTCTAATTGGCAATACATATTTCATCAATCTTGGAGAAATTACTTGCTGATGAAGTGTCACCAACCGGATGACTTTTTATCAGTACTAGAGATACATCACTGGATATAAGTAATTCACTCCCAATAAACATTAAATTAATTTACTTTATTTACAGCTGAAACATCATTTCTTCCTTCATCATTTTGGAAGACTTAATCACAGTCACACAAACAACTTGTACTAGTTGCTATGCATTGATCTTCAAAGTGATATATATATATATATGATTAAAAAAACAGGTTAGCAAAAAGAATCAAGGACTATGCCATATATTTTATTCTACTGCTACCTGGTATCTCAATATAACCAGATAATACGAGATTTCATTAAAGCATCAGTTTGGTTTCCTTTGTAACTAACACTGATATTTTACTCTACCTGCATATAAACTAAAATATTTTCCTAAAACATTAAAATCCCTGATAAGCTAACATCTATTTGATCTACCATTTCTACGCGATGATAGAAATCAGTAACTCAACTCACTACACTATTGACTGATACAACTACAGTGAACATTTCCCAATTTGAAAATGGAAATTAAAGTGTTCTGCTATGTTGTCTCAACTTTTGTATACTTGAAGAAAAATACAATGACTTCAGTTTTAATTTAGGATGGTATCTGGTTATTTTTATAGTTGCAGATTTGCAAATCAAATAAAAAGAGTTTTCCACTGTTAAATTGGTGTTAGAGAGACTTTAACTAATGTCAACTCCAAATAGAAAAATTTCTAGAATGCTTCAAATTGATTAATGTTTATTTAATTTAGTGCTGAATATCTTCAAACCTTTCTACCTGCATAATTTATTACTGTTTACATTGACATTATCTTGAAATTAAGATTCCAATAGAAATACAAAGTTTGATTTTATTTACAGAAAGCTGACATTATTTTATACGGTAAAAGCTTACCACCCAATACTGATTTCTCTGTATAAAACTAACTGTGTTTGTATACAAATATTATAACTGTTTATAAATTATTCCAGAGATTGGATATATGGATTTTACGAACACAGGTTGAATGTCAGAATGTTCTACTTTCAAAGTCACGAAGACACTAGCAGGGGAAAGAAGGAAGGTTAGCTTAACTAAGGGAACGAATGAAACAGGTTACCAAGTATGTTGGAACACTCATGCAAACACGCATACGCATGCATAGTTTAAAATGAAGTTGGGCTAATTATAAATGCGTTAATTGTTTATTCAGTACTGTCTACGATTTGACAACTATTTTGCTTTAAAAATAGAACCTATATATGACTTACAAGGTAGCTACTAGACTGACATCCTTGAAGCTTCATATAAACATTATAATAAGTATGAAAAATAAAGTAATAAAAATGATATCAAAAGAGACGTAAGGAGAAGGGATAAGCACGTTGACAGTTTCGGCGCCAGCTTTTCACAGTATATATATGCATGATATTTGAATGAATTTGATTATAATCCAAAGTGATATAATGTTCGTATCACTTAATTCCATATCCATTGTGTTATTCAGAATAAATAAAAATTTTAATTCTAAAGTTTAGAATCATTAAAGTAAACAAATTTTGTTTTGCTTATGACGCAGTCTGCACTACATTTTCTCATTGATTCTGATAGTCAAAATTGCAAGACTATGATACCAAAAAGTTGTATATTTATAACTCATGAAGTCCAGTTTATTTTGAATGGTGCAGTTAAATTTTATTTAAGGCAGCAGAATCTTACAAACACGCTAAGCATTATCGTTTAAACAACATAAGGACGAATAACATCCCCTCAACATTTAAGTCAAAACTGCACCTTGATTGTATGTCACCTAACATAGTGAATAGTCTTCAAGTTTAACTAACCTCGTCATTCACTCATCACATGACATCTACATTAAGGATCATCTGTCAACCATTCCGTGAAATATTCTCACCATTAACAAAATAAAGTGCCTCTGTAGTTACTCTAAGGTCGGACAAATCAAGTGTCACAATCTACATTCATGGATAACTTTTAACTTTTCTGGAAAACCTTTCAGTGATTGGTCTGACATTCACCTCTGATAATAAAAAAAGGATTCAACATGTTAGTGCTTTAGTTTAAACGCTACAGTTATTCAGTAGAAATATTTAAAAGCAGGAATATCGTAAGTTGATGATGATGAAGCAACATCATGGAAAAACTCAAAAAAGCGCTTGTATAAAAAAATCTTAAAGGAGAAAAGTCATCTGGTATACAAAAATTCTGTCAGACCACGTGAATACTCATGATAAAAACTATGAACGGATATCATATATGCGCTGTATGCTAGCTGTTTTAACTTTCTGTGTGCTGAATTTCACTGTTCAACTCCATACATCGCAAATCTCTTAAAACCCCGTTTACCTTCTGATTAATATTGTAAAAAATACATGACAAAGATGAGAATATATATAGGAACTACATGTAGATATCGAACAACTCCTTTTTGTAGCCAGACAAAAAATATTTGTCTAAAAATTTAAGGTTATGTGTGGTAGTGCACACTAAATGCATAGTCTTCAGCAAGCTACGTGTGAATGTAAGCAAAAAGTAGTACGTTGCATACTAGGCGTGAGCCACATGTGTTGTAAGCGCTTCTGATGCTGTCTAATTGCACACACTGAAGTATACAGGGTAAGCTTAAAGTGTAATATAATAGTCAGAGGTCAACTGTCCGACTAGGTAAGTTATATAGGCATAATCATTAGCAAAATCATCTCTGTTTTGTTGTACTACATTACTAAATTATTCTGCAACCATTTGAACCATAAAAAATTTTGAAAATTTGTGTTGAAGTGGTTATATAAACTACTATGAGGATATGATATTAGGAAAAATGGTGATATTTCTTAACTTTATTATATCTTAATAGGGAAACTTTTCTAATGTACTTAGGTATGGAAACGTAGAGTACAGTGAATTGCTTACTAAATGTAATAGAAACAAATCTGATCGTCATTGTACTCAAATACAGTCCAAGTAACCTGAATTTAAATCACACAAATAACATAAATTATTACTTTCCACTTTAAAGCCTCTTTTGTAATGCGTGTAGCAGAATATTCGTTCCTTGTAACTAAAATGTGTTCGGGTATTAGAGTGGTTTTCTCACATACGAAACAACATCAAAAGCTAACACTTCTAGAATTTTACTAAGTGTATTCAGTCACAACCTCGCCTAGTTAACTTGCTCGCTAGTTTTCTAGCCGGTCCCAAGCCCAGGTAAAGGGGGAGGGTTGGGCGTGGGGCTAGCAACTCCACACCACCAAATCTTTTACAC